ACCATATGTTAGTTCTAAAATAACCTAGTTTGTGTCGGGTGGACGTTAAACCCCATTCCCTCTCTCTCTCTATCTCTGTATGGATTAAGCCCAGTCATGTTGTTTTTAAAATATAGTAAAATGTATATTTTTTTTCTTTAATGCATATTTTGGAGTGTAATATTAGAATTAACAAAAGCTCATATTAAACAGTAAAAGAGTTTGCGTTTATTTGAATTGAAATGATATAAGATTGTCCTAATGTGGATATTCCTTAGCAGACACGTCCACTATAATAAACATTCACAAAACATTTAATATTTATCTCCTGTTTTTTTGTTGTTTTGGTTTTTTTTTGGGGGGGGGTAATTGTTTTGGTGTTCATGTATTGAACCCATGGGGCAGGCAGGTTCCCCGGTTTATGTCGTCTATAGCACACTGCATGGTGTATGTCTCTCTTCATTAGCCCGGAATACAAATATAAAATTCATCAAATGATAGTTTGCTTGGTCTCATACATTAGCTCGAATGGTTTGCAGTTGATTAACATATTTCAAACGCATTGGCCGAGAAAGTTCATCCAGATTTTCCGGTGTGCTTCCCCCTTGTCAGTGATGCAGGACGGAGGGCCTGACAAGAACAGCTGTCTAGTCGTTCGGATAGGACGAAAACCGAGGTCCTGTACACATTGGCGTGTACGTAAAAGATCCCTTGACAGTTGGAATTTGATATGTAGTGCCGCTATCCGGGCAAAATTTCCCTCATAGCACACTGTATGGTGTATGCCCGTCTTCATTAGCCCAGTTCGGAGCGTTAAACACCATTTCATTTCATTTTCATATTCCAAACCTTTTGAAACTCCTCTACCATTAAACCAAATCGTAACACAGAATGAAAACCTTGATTTTTGTCCTTTTAATCGAATTCTATTCATCTTTCATGAAGAGTTATTGACGTGATATTTCAATACATTAAACATGCAGTTTTAAATCTGTTTATTGCAAATCTTTATTTTTCATTTCAATATTAAGAGCTAAATCAGCCTATTGCCAGCAGATTTTTATTTTGGTTTCAAATGTTATATCAATTATTGTTTAAAATCCTTATACGGCATTTAGTAACTGAACATATAAGATAAAAACACAAATTTATATGGAAAACAATGACTGAGTTTATTTCACACTGCGTTTCAACAAGTTCCACTTGTCGTTCTCAAGTAAGTAATAACAGTATAATAGCAAGAAACAAATAATATACAACAAGGTAACAAAATTATTGTTTAGACATTTATTAACAACACGGGTTTATGATCAACTCTCTAGACGGACATTTTCAATATATTCATCTTTCATTATCTATTTTTGAAATATTAGAGCAAGAACGACCAGCTATCACAGGTAGGAACTAGTCAATGACCCGACTTGTGCGGACTCGGCAGCTGTGGGTTAATGCTAAATGATAAGGCCAGCTCAATTTTTCGTCATAGTTCAAGAGATGTAAATCAGGGCTAGCGCTAATCCCAACCCTAATCCGAACCCTGGTTCTAGCGCCAATGCTTATCTTAACCCTAACCTACAATCTTGCCAACAATCAGGTGCCCTAACCTAATTTACATATCAACGACCTTGAAAAAAATTGAGCTGGCCTTAACAAGTAGATTTAGCCGCAGTTTTGACGACTTGTGACTTGAAAGGGCTAAGGACTCAAGTCACAGTGAGTGGGGCATAACTCTAACTTACCTTATTTTCCATGAATTGCTGAGTCATTTGATGAACTGGTGACTTGAAAGTGACTCCACTCGGTACTAAAGTCATTGACTTAGGACTCGACTCGAGGTGCGGCGACTTGGGACTCGACTTGGGACTCGAGGTGGGCGATTTGGGACTTGACTCGGACTCGAGATGCGGCGACTTGTTCCCACATCTTAATCTTACATAATGCATCTTTAATTACTTCAGCTGTGTAGATATAACGAACTGGTAATCACGTAATGTGTAGATATAACGAACTGGTAATCACGTAATGTGTAGATATAACGAACTGGTAATCACGTAATGTGTAGATATAACGAACTGGTAATCACGTAATGTGTAGATATAACGAACTGGTAATCACGTAATGTGCGCATTTGTTTGAGTTGTATTAAAATTAGGGGGGGGGGGGGGGGTAGCGCGTGCGCGCTGTATTATAAGGTCTGTCATTGGGTCAGTTGGTGTGGTTTCGATTCCCCGGTAGTAGGCTACGTGACAAGGAGTAGAGTCGCCTGTCCAGCCTCGTGAGTTTTCTCCGGGTCCTCCGGTTTCCTCCAACTGCTAAAGACCCCTACGCGCAAGTGAATTATTGAAATAAAATTGAACCATATGTTATTCCCGAAATGACTTGGTTTGTGTCGACTGGACTTTAAACCCATTAACTCTTTCTCTCTCTCTCTCTCTCTCTCTCTCTCTCTCTCTCTCTCTAATTAAGACGGGCAAAAACCCAACAGTGTGCTATGAGGGACATTTTGTCCGGACCTACTCTTATATCCAATTCCAACTACCAATGCTTATTTTACGGACTCTTCCTCTCACTCCCGCGGGATATTTTCATATTATTCTACTTTATATTTTAACTCATCGGTGTAAAGAGAGAGAGAGAGAGAGGGAGAGAGAAATGGGGTTTAACGTCCACTCGACACACACTAGGTCATTTCGGGACTAACATATGGTTTAATTTTATTTCAATAATTCGCTTGCGCGTAGGGGTCTTTAGTAGTGGGAAACTCATCGGTGTAATATTAACAATCGTGTAAATAGGTGACAACACAAATGTATTAAATTGTCTACGATATCACCTTAGGTGGAAGTGAACGTAAAACCCTACGAACGAACGAACGAACGAATGTATTAACCACATCTACGTCAGGGGAAATAATCCTGGGATTATTTTTGTCCATCTTTGCTCAAATATGACAATTTAACTAAAATCTGAATTTATAGAGAGTACTACAAAAATGTACATCTCTCAATAATCTGATTCATGTACGGAAACACCCCAAATAAATCTGCACCATCTTTATGGAAGACTAACGTCGCTAATATTAGTCCAATGGTCACGGTGCAAAATGTATATGTCAGCACTTCAAAATACGTATTTTAGTTTTTCAATTTGTAATTTACATTGCTCCACAGTACCAATGTCACAGTGTTAAAATACTGGGCCCTTATTCACAAAAACTTAAACTAAGATACAATCGAAATTTTAAGAAATACTGCAATTCGATTGGCTGACCAGTAAAATCAATTTGTATATATCCAATTTGCATATTGGTCAGCCAATCGAATTGCAGTATTTCTTAAAATTTCGATTGTATCTTAGTTTAAGTTTTCGTGAATAAGGGCCCAGAATACACTTTTCAATAATACAATATACAGTATAATAGTTATTTTGCGCTAAGATAATAAAAATGAAAACAATTTGTCTGCGATATCACATTCGGTGAAAGCGAACGTTAATCAATAAGAACAATAATTACTGATTTATGTAGGTGAAGTTTTAAAAAGTATTCTCTCAACGTTTTCAAGCAGTCTTACTCACTGAGCCACCGTGGGCAGAGCATAGATACTACAGATAGATCATATTTTACTCTCATGCTGACCTCGTGTGTTTGGGTGAGACTTCAAGCCCTTGTTAACAACCAGGCAACTAAACTGTCGACTCACGGGTTGACCCAAGATGAAATGAGCTCCCAGACCCTTTACTCCATTAACGACCCCATTTGTTTGCGTGAGCGTCAAAGCCCGTTTCCGCGACTCTGTTCAAAAGTATGAATGAATGCTGATGCCACTTGACTGTCGACTACAATGTCCGCTGTTCAAATCCCGTGGTGACCCGAGATGAAAATGAAATGAAATGTGGTTTAACATTTACTGGCCAGAGAGAGAGAGAAAGAGAGAGAGGGAGAGAGAGCGAGAGTTTAACGTCCCCTCGACACGAACTAGGTCATTTCGGGACTAACATATATGGTTCAATTTTATTTCAATAATTCGATTGCGCCTAGGCGTCTTTAGCAGTGGGGGGGGGGGGGCGAGAAACCCCACGAGGTTTGACAGGCGACCCGAATCCTTGTCACGGAGAAAACCCATGAGGTTGGACAGGCGACCGGTAGCAGACGGACAAACGCCATGCACTAACCTGACTAGACGCGGTGCCTTACTAGATCCTTACCCATGCACCAATGACAAGGAGACGGGGACCCCGATGGTCTTTGTCGTCCACCATCGGGGTCAAACCCGTGACCCGCTGGTTAGAGAGCTAGCGCCCTACCTACAGAGCAATCGTGGATATGGACCCACAATGAATCTAGGTTATAGAACATTTCGCTAGCCGAGCTCCACTCATTGACTTATAGAAGAACCCTTGTCATTTGGGATGCTCTGGGACTCAGTCTTCCCACGTAACCACGGACAAATATCTACGACCGGATCCCCCCCCCCCCAGCAAACATCCACCCAGCCCCCACCTCACCATCCACATAATGCAGCACAGAGAATTTGTCGAGTGGTCTTAAGCATGCGCATTAGATCTTAAGGTCTCCCATCGAGTCGACTTGAACGTGGTACGGAGGAGGATTGCCAGCCTATCCTCGTGGGTTGTCAACGGGTCTCCTGGTCCCCACTTCCCGCACCCCACTGCGAATTATGTTAATCTCGAAATGACCTAGTATGTATCGAGTGGACATTGACCCCCCCCCCCCCCGACCCCTCTCTCTCTCTCGCTCGCTCTCTCTCTCTCTCTCTGTGGAGGATCTGCCATTGAGTAGACTGACATGATCCTGAAGTGATCCAATTTCTCCGGTTTCCTCCCACTTCTAAAGACGACTAGTGTAATAAATAGTTACTGTCGAGTGGACGTTAGGCCTACTATTGTCTGCGATATCACCGCTGTGGAAGCGGACGTTAAAGAAAGCTATGTCACACACACATATGGACGTTACCCCACTCCATCTCTCCACCTGTATTTCAACTAAACACCATAAAATATTTATTTTGTAACGTAACATTTATTTCAAATTAGAAGTGAACGTACGTACAAAATTCTATGCAAAAACATTTTGAAATATAATTAACCGTACACTGGTATTCTCTTGTCGGTAGACATTACTTTCACGTGTAGCTCATTCCAAAAAAATTAAAGAAAATAGTATTTAAAAACAAAAAAATAAAGTAGATATGGCCATTTCGTTGATGAATTCAGATGATAGGATTTGGTGGATGCTTTCTAGTCACATGTGGTAACGATAATCTGAAAACAAAACAGAGACTGGAGTAAGTAAAATAAAACGAAACGAAATGCCGTCAAATATCATTTTCCTGCACCGACTGGGTTAATTAAATGAAATGGGCTTTAACCTCCTCCGACTGGGTATATATCATACAGTTTGTAATGAGGGGCATTTTGTCCGGGCAGCGGTACTATGGCCTACTCTTATATTGAATTCTAACTGCCAAGGGATCTTTTACGTATACACGCGAGATAAGTTTTTCGTCCCATCCGCACGACTAGACAGCTGTCCCTGTCCTGCAACACTGAATCCGACTTGGCTAATGAAGACAGTCATGCGCCTTACAGTGTGCTATGAGGGAACTTTTGTCAACTGCATATACCAAGGGATCTTTGAAGTGCGAGGGACCTAGTTTTTTCGTCCTATCCAAACGACTAGAGACCCCCAAAAAAATCCCTCCGTCAAACGACGCTGAAAATGTTCGAGGAACTTGTTCGGCCAACACCGAATAATTGATCAGTGGGGAATTCTAGTTTAGGATTTAAAGTCATCGATCGGGCTGACAATAAACACACAATTTATCGCACACATTTTCAATTTTGATGTATTCAGCCAATCAATTTCGCTGATAGCTTGATGGATTCAACCAATCAATAGCAAGCAAGTAATCACATGATTTTTAATTAAAGCATAAGACACTGCTTGCTTTCCATGCAGTTTAAATAACAAACATCCCAGGTAGTTTGATTTCCGGTTTTCATCACTCTGGGTTTCGATTGATTTTACCACCTTGTACCAAAACTATGGAACTCTTTACATGTGTTTCTCAAAACTTTCAAATCAAAACTAAAATCTCATTTGTTTGAATCCTATTATAGGATAGTGAATTATTAAACTGAAGAGCATACTCTTTGCATGGAATGCGCGCAATATAAATATTCATTATTATTATTATTATTATTAAAACTAATGGTAAACTTACATATCTGATCCAACCTCGGAAATTATCTAAACCTGGACCACGGCCCACTTGTTTTTTTGGGGGGTGGGGTGTGGGGGAGTGGTGAGGAAAGTCTTTTGTCATGCATCTGGCGATCGTGTGACGCCTTGGCACGGTGAAAGCCTTCAGACTTGCAAGCAAGTCTAGTTATTATTATTATTATTATTATTAAAACTAATGGTAAACTTACATATCTGATCCAACCTCGGAAATTATCTAAACCTGGACCACGGCCCACTTGGAAGGCACACTGTGATCTCACAATGGTTTCTGAAATATACAGATACAATTGTAAAGCATTCGTTTCAATGGATACAAAAGTCTAGTTTAACCCCGATGTGAAATCCATGACATTTCTTGTCCTAGACCTGGTGGTTACAGGAATCTACAGGCTTCTCCATCGCTGGTGATTCCCCTTACTCGTGTCTGATTACCACGTGACCCTTCCACCTCAATATCATGAATCTTCACTAGCTCTGTCAAAACCTTGATTGTACCCCCCCACCTACCCCCCCCCCCGGGTCAATACTAACGAATAGGGACTGTTACGTAGACATGTGGGACAGAAAACATTTGAAGTATGAAATATATTTTATATTAAACAGAGCAGCTTGAACAAAAAACGTAAAGGTGATAATTTTAAATTTCAAACAAAATACTTCAGTTTATTTTCACTCTTTGATTGGATACCGCCTGAAGTATGTGCTCAAGGTCATCACACTGTCCACCCGCCCTCCCATCTATCTGCACGCTACTGTCAGAAGCAGATTACATTGGTAACTTCAGATCAGAAGGTCTGACATTGAGGCATGGTTTCGAGTCCAAGCGTGTAGTGAGTAGGGTGGCCTGTCCGACCTTGTGGGGTTTTTTCAAGGTCCGCCAGTTACATACCACTGATAAAGGCTAAAGAAATCCACGAATTAGTGTCATAAAGTTGAGCCATATGTTAGACCCGAAATGACATAGTTTGTGTCGAGTGGAAGTGGATGCCCCCCCCCCCTCTCTCTCTCTCTCTCTCTCTCTCTCTCTTTCTCTGGTTAGTACGTGCGCGCTGTATCATAAGATCTGACATTGAATCAACTGGCGATTCCCCAGTGGTAAGTGACAAGGAGTAAGGTCGCCTGCCCAATCGTGTGGGTTTTCCCCGGGTCCCCAGATTTCCTCCCACAAATCCAACATGCCTACATGCCAATAGACAACAATAACAACCCAAATCTCAATTTCCTTAAGACACTGTTTCAATACTAACGATTGAAGGGTTTGTCGACTGTATTATCATTGACTGTACCAAACAGTTTAGTTGCAGCTTTATTATAGAAGAATTCTACATCGCGCCAGTCATCCTGAAAACAAAATATATTTGTTATGTTAAAATATATTGTTATGCTAAAATATATTGTTATGTTAACATATATTATTATTTTTAAATACATTATGTTAAAATATATTGTTATTTTAAATATATTGTTATTTTAAATATATTGTTATTTTAAATATATTGTTATTTTAAAATATATTGAATTGTTATTTTTAAATATATACTTATTATACAATAATGACATCTTTTGGTTCATTTAAGCAAATTAAGCCAAACATATCGGTTCTTCTAAAGGGGGGGGGGCGTGCACGTTTGTTCAAAAGATCTGTCATTGAGTCAAGTGGAGTGGTTCGATTCCCTGCTTAAACGTCGTCGGTCTTGTTTCGAACCATATGTTAGTCTTTAAATGACATAGTGTGTGTCGAGTAGAAGTTAATCTAACTCTCTCTCTCTCTCTCTCTCTCTCTCTCTCCCTCTTTCTCTACCAATGTCCCAGGTTCCAGTGGTTGTCAGTGGAATAATTAGGGTTGGCTATACTTACTTGGGTATTGACTGACAAATCAGTAGTAGTTCTTGTCAAAGTTGAATCAAAGGTAGCTGCCCTGAGGTTAGTTGTCGGGCCAGTCCTGGTGATTTCAATGGTAGCCAATTCGCCACAGTCTCCATTGGTGATCACTGCTTCTTCATTCGTGCGCCGAATGGGGGTGCTATAATCTACCCTGTAGGACACTTGGATTGTCAGATTTCCCGTGAACTCCACGTTAGACAAGCGAAGGATCCTGATAGCAGTGCTTCCATTAAAATAGGCTGTACCGGCGGCGGTGTCGATAACAGCGCCATAGTTGTCATACTCTCCGGCCTCAGCGGTTTCAAAGTCGATATCAACCAGCGGTTCACATGGAACAGAAACTATAAATAATACAAGAATTAATTAATGAATGATTCACATGGAACTGAAACTATAAATAATACAAGAATTAATTAATGAATGATTCACATGGAACAGAAACTATAAATAATACAAGTTGTAGGAATGAATTAATGAATGAATCAAATGTGGTTTAACGTCCTAGATTTCTGCAATAAACCCGGTTAACAAAGATGAGCAGATTAACAAGAGGGAAAATACGTTGTCCCTTGACAGGCACTACTGACAAAGGCAAAGGGGGAGCACGGTGAAAGGTGTCTTTGTCCGTCCCACTGGCATAACTACAATTTGTATCTCGTTAAATGAAATGAAATGAAATGGGTTAAACTTCCTATTGTTCTTCTAATAATACGAGAATATACCATACAGTATGCTATGAGGGAAATTTTGAATAGGCAGCGGCACTATGGCCTAGTCTTATATCGAATTCCAACTGCCAAGGGATCTTTTACGTGCACGCCAATATGTACACGTCCCATCTGAAAGACTAGACAGCTGCACCACTGACAAGGGGAAACCACATCGGAAAGTCCCGATGAACTTTCTCGGCCAATGCAAGGATCGAACACGTGACCTCCAGGCTAGCGAGCCAGCGTCTTACCCACTCGGCCAATGCAAGGATCGAACACGTGACCTCCGGGCTAGCGAGGTTCCAAAGAAAAGTCAGTATAATAGATAGATATAATCATTTGGAATAATGGACACATAATGGACACAGTTATAGACTTGTATGTTTTATTGAAAAAAGCGTTTAGAACTAAAGGTGTGTGTGTGGGGTGGGGGGGGTGAGGCCCAACAGACTTACCTGGACCACATGATGGAGCAAGTATCGAACACGCACATGTAGATACATTAAAGCCCAGCCCTGGAGCACAATTCTGTGTGATTTGTATGCCGTCCACCATTTGGCCAAACACACATACGTTGTTTGGGTCTTCGATTAAAGTGCAACCAACTGAAAATAAAAAACAAAACAATATAATGTCCAACTTACATGTAAGCTACGGATCGCAATGGAACAATGGCGAATCGAAATTAATTGAAATTCGTGGCGATTCGGCAAAAAGATCAGAAAGATCACAGAGAATCTCGAGAAACCAGTTCGTAGGAAATCGGATGAAAAATTATGTCAAGGTACAGATACGATAAAGGTACGAAATCATCTATACGGATTGAAGCAATTCAGTTACGATAGTATTACGGGTATGACGCATTGCTTACGAATATGCCGAATGTATTTAGGAATACACTACGTTCTCCATGAATAATGCCGATAAATATAAGAAAAGTTTACATTTGGCACCATTCGTCATTAATTAATTCTTGTATTATTTAAAGTTTCTGTTCCATGTGAATCATTCACTTATTAATTCTTGTATTATTTATATTTTCTGTTCCATGTGAATCATTCATTAATTAATTCTTGTATTATTTATAGTTTCTGTTCCATATGAATCATTCGTTAATTAATTCTTGTTACGGAAGAAAGGACTACGAGTACGACGAGATTACGATACGTTTACGAATATGTAAGAACCAAATAGGAATCACTCGCGAACTTCAAGAACCGTCTATGATTTATCTACGAATTGGAAAAAGTTCGGGACGATACGTGGCATTCGTAGCCTATATGAAAGCGAGTCACGGAAAGTTTTGTTTCAGAAATCATTTATGCCAATGGGTACACGGGATCTATTGGAAGGACTAGGTGCTGTTCCTTGCAAGGTCCTTCGCCCTGCATCAATTTTGTTCAAATGAAATGAAATGGAGTTTAACGTCCTACTGTTCTGCTCCTAACCTGGGCTAATGAAGACGGGCATACGCCATACAGTCTGCTATGAGGGAAATTTTGCCCGGGCACCGGCGCTACGGCCTACTCTTATATCGAATTCCAATTGCCAAGGGATCTTTTACGTGCACGCCAATGTGTACACGGGACCTCGGTTTTTCGTCCCATCCGAACGACTAGGCAGCTGTCCTTGTCAGGCCCTCCGTCCTGCACCACTGACAAGGGGAAACCACGCCGGAAAATCTGGATGAACTTTCTCGGCCAATGCAGGGATCGAACACCGACCTCCAGGCTAGCGAGCCAGCGTCTTACCCACTTAGCCGAGTGATCCCCCAATTTTGTTCAAATTTTAACTGGAAATGCAAAATATCGTGTTGTGCTGTATGCTGTAGAGTGTGCTGGGCAGGGGGGGGGGTGTATTGCCTGAAGAGACGCGGGACCTCAGCGGGAGGAAGTAGATAAATATAATACGAGAGAGGGGTGAGGTGGGTAAACAAAATATAGCACAATCTGTGATTAAAACACAGATCCTATTTCGTTTCGTTTTTTATAATTCAAAACTTCGTTTTATTTGTCTGTACTACACTAGGATCTGGAGGGTTGTTATATAAGCCGCGTTCTGGGAGGCGTGAGGGATTAGCCAATGAAATCATTGGCTTGCGATGCAGGGAATTGTGGGTAAACCACTAGAAACCTCAACGTTGATTGATTAATCAATGTCTAACGTCATACGTGTCAAAAGCCGCTCGTACGACCTCTGACGCGACCTTTTACCACCACCTATCAGATCTTCATGTGTGTAGGCCATCGAACATTTAAAATCAACGAAACGAAATATAGATGTGTATTTTAATGAGAGTGGAGGTAGCAGAGAAACAGGACATACCTGGTTGTGGTGCGATACAATTTTGGTCTGCCTCACAGGTCTGAGTAGTGTCATTGAACGAAAATCCATCGTTACAGGCACGTTTTTGTCGAGTTTCGCCTTCACATTCGTAATATTCGTTACATTTTCCACTGACCTTGAACCGATATCCATCTGATTTACCTAAACACCGAGCTGTATATATAAAAACAAAACATTTTTAATAAAAAAATAACTTCTAATACCACTGGGTTTAACGTCCTTCTGTTCTGCTCCGAACTGGGCTAATATGACCCTACGACCTGTGATACAAACAGATACGTTATGTGAGGCAAACAGATGCCTCATGTGATACAAACAGATGCGTCATGCAATACAAACAGATACGTCGTGATACAAACAGATGCTTCGTGTAATACAAACAGATGCGTTGTAATACCAACAGATGCGTTGTAATACCAACAGATGCGTTGTAATACCAACAGATACGTTGTGATACAAACATATACGTTGTGATATAAACAGATGCGTCATGTGATACAAACAGATGCGTCATGTGACAAAAACAGATGCGTCATGTGACAAAAACAGATGCGCCATGTGATACAAACAGATGCGTCATGTGACAAAAACAGATGCGTCATGTGACAAAAACAGATGCGCCATGTGATACAAACAGATGCGTCAAGTGAGACAAAGAGATGAGTCATGTGATACAAACAGATAAAGTTATCTTACTATCATTACACTGCACTAGGGCTATATGGTTGCACGTGAGTGCATCTTGATCCCAGTAAGTACCAAACCCACATCGATGTAAGGTACCCACAGCTACACCATCTTGGTTAAATTGACACTGAAGGTAAGTGTCACACTCCGGATTCTCTGGGACCACGTATCCAATACCATTCCTTAACACACAACCAAAGCAAGGCCCAGGTTGATTAACTACAACCACAGTTTGACCTGGTAAGATAAACATAATATAACATATTAACAAAACAATAGCTAATATCCCCTGCCTCAACCCAAAACAATAGCTAATGCCTCAACCCAAAACAATAGCTAATATCCCCTGCCTCAACCCAAAACAAGGTCCAGCTTGAGTAACGACAACTACAAGATAAATATATCATATTTACAAGACAATAGGTACAAGCCTCAGCCCCCCCCCAAAAAAAAAATATATATGACACATATTAATCGTACATTTATCCTTTTTTAAAAGCATCGAGCTACCAGATTGCTTTCCGAGCTACTTAGCCTAAATAGAGCGTTGATGTCGTGAAACTACACACCAAGTTAAAATGCCCATCACAAATCGTTGCTTCTCCTGGGCATCAAACTTAGTCATGACATCCACCGCATGAACATCGATCTACAACACGTATCAAAAGTCTATCTTAATGAAAAGCAAGGGCGTGTTTCTGAATTTGAGCAGCGGGGAGTCTACGGTAGACAACGGCAAGTTTGGTGTTAGATCGGGGGGGGGGGGGGGATAACAATGAGAGAGAGAGGGGGAGAGGGAGAGAGAGATGGGTTTAACGTCCACTCGATACAAACTAGGTCATTTCGGGACTAACACATGGCCCAATTTTATTTCGATAATTCGCTTGCACGTAGGGGTCTTTAGCAGTGGGGGGAAAGCGGAGGACCCGGAGAAAACCCAGAGGTTGGACAGGAGACCCTACGTCTTGTCACGTACAACCAGGGAATAGAAACCACGCTAGTTGACTCAATGACAGACCTGATGCTACAGCGCGCACGTGCTAACCATTTGGCCATCTACCCACCCCCCTCCCCGAGGATTACAATAAAGGGGGTCAAAACGGTAGCAATACTCCACACCTTGCAGGAGAAAGAAATATGCCATGCCGCAGTAGGGAAGGAGTGGAGGGGGGGCAGATTTAGCTCTTGAATAATGCATTTTCAAGAATATAGAACATAAACTTACCCAGGGTGAGTGAGATGACAGAAGCCAAGGCCACAAACGAAACCAACAAAATATTTGCCATGATAACTGAAAATAAAAAATAAACAGGAACTTGACTGTCCTGAATGATGAACTAGATATGCGTTACGATAGGATAGGATTGCCCCTATTGCGTCCACGATCTGGTACGTGCAGATACGTTCCGATACGTTTTGACACGATTGCTACGACTGACCTCAATACGTGATAAGACCTAATAGGATCACCACGATTACTCCGTGATTAAAACCACGATTTCAATCGTAGCACGAATCGTGATAGTGGAAACCTAGCATTAGACAATATCACCTTCCTACGAAATAGGAATTATGGGGTAGGGAAATTAGGTCTCGAGAGTTCACCAGTCTTTCACAAAAGGTCCATCAGTTTAATCTAGGACCAATTTTCTGCTGTCGGTTATTGGGTGGGTGGGGGGGGGGGGGCTCATCGGCTCCTCTCGGTCTCATTCGGAACTCCTCAGCTTACATCTATTGCATTTTACGCATCAATTCGCCTCGCAGCTCGGGGTACCACTCCCTACCACGCAGGGGCTAAGTGAGAAGGACGCAATGACGAGCTTTGCGTCATGTTTTAGAGGTCTTTGCGCCCACTTGAGTTTTTGCGCTCCTCTCAAATGGCAAAAAAAAACAATATCATGTGGTTTCAATGCGGTTTTCAACAGTATAATCATAATCATAATGTTCAAAAAGTGTCAAACATATACCGTGGGTCGGATATACTACAAATCGAATCTAGCAGGTTCCACACAGCCCAATTTTACCCGGTGCCGACCCACACCCTCCTCCGCGCACGCATATAAATTTTGTTGTTTTTTTAGGCCCGGACAAGATTCGACAGCAGGATTCGCCGACGAACTTAGTCGGGGAAATGTCTGTGCCGTTTTATCTGCGAATAAGTAGCCTGAAAGTTAATTCATACATGCGCTTTTGGCCACATAATGTAGTCGGCGATAAATATCCGACCGATAAATATACGGCGACATTTCGCTGGCGAAAGGTTGGCAGAATAATTGGCACTAGAACATTCGCCAACTGTGTCCTACGCATTGGTCAGTGTGTCGTTCTCACTAACAAGAAATTAAATAAATTCTCCCATAATACATCTACACCAGGGGCCTGTTTCACTAAATTTTAACTAAGATAAAATCCAAATTTTAGTAATTTGATTGGATAATGTTAGATTGGTGTTAGTGCTCAGCCAATCAAAATTGAAGTATCTACTAAAATTTGGATTTTATCTTTAGTTAAGATTTGGAGAAACAGGTCCCTGGTTATCGTCCTTTAAACTTGATCTGCTTTCCGCGCGTCTGTATTTCTACGCATGTCTGCTACGAAAAATGTTTCGTAATAATCTAAACATTTATTATACACTTCATTAATTGACTTATTCAAAAACGCATGCGCGGATTTTTGAAAGTTTAAAACAAATATCACGCTATCATTAAGAAAACGCTGTTTTCCGTTTTGCATATGTTGAAAATGGGTTAGTGCTTAATGATAAGGCCAGCTCAATCTTTCGTCATAAGTCACGATATGTAATCAGGGATAGTGCTAATCCTAACACTAAGCCTAACCCTGGACCTAGCTCCAATGCTTACCCTCACCCTAACCTAAATCTCGCCAACAATCACGTGCCCTAACTTTATTTACATCTCAGCGACCTTGACAAAAATTGGGCTGACCTTAACAAATAGATTTTGCCATTGAAAATGCAATGGCTGGTTTTCTGTAATAGATCTCGAAGATTTTTAGCGGATCGGCTGCGTTCTAGATTAAAATGCTAAACCTTTTCTCTGAAATTCGGAATCCTAGGGGTAAGAGAGAGAGAGAAATGGGGTTTAACGTCCACTCGACACAAACTAGGTCATTTCGGGACTAACATATGGTTTAATTTTATTTACATAATTCGCTTGCGCGTAGGGGTCTTTAGCAGTGGGAGGAAACCGGAGGACCCGGAGAAAACCCACCAGGTTGGACAGGCGACCCTACTCCTTGCCACGTACAACCGGGGATTCGAAACCACGCCAGTCGACTCAATGACAGACTTTATGATACAGCGCGCGCACGCTAACTATTCAGCCATCCACCGTCCCTTCTAGGGGTAAATATAGGCTTTTAATACACCCCTTTCCCTATATCGCCTAGTAAAATAAATCGAATTTAGAAATAACTACACGATATTTCGAACAGCAATTTTAGATGATCATGGTTAGGCTTCCCAAACATATATGGAGAGTAAGAGCAATTTGAAACAGCAATTATTAAATTCATAGTGCGTATAGTAAGTGCAGGAGGACCGCACTACACACATAATAAACATGTGGACAACATAGACCTTGCAAGAAAAAAACCCAACAAATATCCAATCAAGTGAACTGATTCGGGGGCCAGCCGTAAACGCTCACTAGGCATCGAATGTTCAGCGGAAAGTAATCTCAAACTCTCTCGTGCAAGAAAAGCTGTCTTTGTAATGTAAAATCTCTACCTTTTTATAAAACTATAAATGAGTAAATTTATACATTTTTTACCGATAGAAATCAATCAATGTTTAAAAAATAATCTTATAAAATCTTCAACTCACCACTGTCTGAGGTACAGATCTGACCGTTCCCCTAAACTCAACACCGACTGGTACAAGCAAACTAATCTAGCGATATTTATATTGATTTCAATTGAACACCCCTATTGATGCACCCCATCCCTTTTTGAATATTAATAAACTAAAAACATTTTTGATTGGCTAGTTATCATTTCGACGTAACTGATATCAGTGAATGCATGGTCCCTATTGAGACCCCTATCATAAGTCACTCACTTATTGAATATGTAACAGGCAACGGATGCTTGCGATTGGATAGTTATCTTTTTGACGCAACTTCTGCTATCATTAAATTCAAATTTTGACTTGATGGCCTGGAACATGCGACGTTATTTTGTTTGTGCACGACACGATAAATACGTGCTAAATTTCACCTTATTTTGTGAAAACCACGATGATCAAATGAACTATTTTTAATATGGGATTATTGACCGTCAGAGTTTAATGTTCGCGCAACACAAACTAGGTCAACACAAACTAGGTCATTTCAATACTTCGCAAGGGACTATAGGTCATGAGTACCCAGGGAATGAAATGAAACGGGATTTAGCGTCCTACTGTTCGGCACCGACAGGGCATACGATATGCAATGTTTTATGGGGGACATTTTGTCCGCACATATAAGGGCACTAGTCTTATTTCGAATTCCGTCAAGGGTTATTTTACTTGAACGCCGAAGTGTACACGGGACCTTAGATTTTTTTGTGAAATGAAATGAAAGGAAATGAAATGGGGTTTAACGTCCTACTGTTCTGCTCCTATACTGGGCTAATGAAGACGGGCATAAATCATACAGTGTGCTATGAGGGACATTTTGCCCGGGCAGCGGCACTATCGCCATGGGATCTTTTACGTGCATCACTGACAAGGGGAAACCACGCCGGAAAATCGGGATGAACTTTCTCGGCCAATGCAGGGATCGAACACCCGACCTCCAGGCTAGCGAGCCAGCGTCTTACCCACCTAGCCACGATTTTTTTTTGTCTTATCCCAAAGACTAGATACCGTCCCGTGCACCCCTGTCGGAAAATCGTGAAGAACCTTCTTGACCAACATCGGGAGTGAACCTGTGAGGTCCTGGTAACCCATGAATAGGTTAACCTACTCCATGTCCTGTACAAGCCTGGGATCGCTAACACGACACTTGCGTCAATGCCTGGCCGAATGGACTAAAACTCGGACAACTCGGCTATACTCCCTCTTGTCTTAATGAAAATAAATGGGGTTTAACGTCCTCCTACTGGGCTAATGAAGACATGAAATGAAATGAAATGGGGTTTAACGTCTTACTGTTCTGCTCCTAAACTGCTCTAATGAAGACGAGCATACGCCATACAGTGTGCTATGAGGGAAATTTTGCCCGGGCAGCGGCACTATGACCTACTCTTATATCGAATTCCAACTGCCATCTTTTACGTGCACGCCAATGTGTACACGGGACCTCGGATTTTCGTCCCATACGAACGACTAGACAGTTGTCCTTGTCAGCCCCTCCATCCTGCATCACTGACAAGGGGGAAACCACGCCGGAAAATCTGAATGAACTTTCTCGGCCAATGCAGGGATCGAACACCCGACCTCCAGGCTAGCGAGTCAGCGTCTTACCCACTTAGCCACGTGATCCGGTCCTACGCCATACAATATATAATACGAGAGAAGTTTTGCCAGCACAGTGGCGCTACTGCTTACTTTTATATAGAATTCCAACTGCTTAGGGATCTTTTAAAGGCTCAATACCACTCTTGTTGTAACTGAATAATATGTCCAAATCTTTATTCTGGTCAACAAATTGTACTATTTTACAATATTCCAATTAATTGATGATATAAATTTCATCTTAACACACCTTATTTAAAAATTTTGAAAAATTCAACATAATGGTTTGGAACGTCTAACGTAAACCTTTTCAAATGAAACTTCGATTTAAAAATATTTTCGAACCCTCTGGACAAGTAAAATGGGATGTAATGGATAATTTACACAACAGGTAGGACACTTAAACATCTAGTACTTAGATAGAGATATTATTTATTTTCTGGAGCTTTCAAGCCAGCAAGAGTGTTATTGTCCCTTTAAGTATAAATCAATGTATATATACGGGACCTGCCCCTTGTCAGTCCCTCTGTACTGCAGCACTGACAAAAGATAACTACGCAGTAAAATTCCAATGAACATTGTGAACAATGAACCTCCAGGTCAGCGAACCAACGTTCTCAGCACGTCTCCCGATTATTTGTGAACACAGATTTCGTTATAGTATTTTTGTGTCATTCGCATTTTTCAGAAATCCATAAATCTATAAATCAAAAGCTTGTATAAATAAAAATGTTTTCATTTGTGGTTTAAAGGGCAAATGGGGCCTGTGCTGTAAACGATCGTTCACCGTAAGTTTTCTGTCTGGCTGTTCTACAGTCACCTGATCAGTGATCATTTGATGACCTCAATGGACCAGTAGGGGTAGAGACAGAGACAGAGAGAGACAGAGAGAGTTTAACGTCTACTCGACACAAACTAGGTTATTTCGAGATTAAAATATTGTTCAATTTTATTTCAATCATTCGCTTGCTGCGCGTAGGGGACTTAAGCAATGGGAGGAAACCGGAGGACCCGGAGAAAACCCACGAGGTTGGACGGGCGACCCTACTCATTGTCACGTACAACCAGAGAAATTAAATGACGCACCTTATGATATACCCGCGAACGCGGTACACCACTCGGCCATCCACCTCCCCCCCCCCTTTCCGAGTAGAGGTATAAATATCTGAAAGAGATGATAAATATAAAGGTGCCATATGATTTAAACATTGAAAGAATGATTTTATATTGAATTCTGGGGGGGGGGGGGCATGGTGGCTAAGTGGGTAAGACGCTTGCTCGTAGGCTGGAGGTCGGGTGTTCGATCCCTGCATTGGCCGAGAAAGTTCATCCAAATTTTCAGGCGTGGTTCTCTCTTGTCAGTGATGCAGGACGGAGGGTCTGACAAGGACAGCTGTCTAGTCGTTCGGATGGGACGTAAAAACCGAGGTCCCGTGTACACATTGTCGTGCAAGTAAAAGATTCCTTTACAGTTGGAATACGATATAAGAGTAAGCGGAAGTTCCGCTCTCCGGGCAAATTTCCCTCATAGCACACTGTATGGCGTACGCCCGTCTTCATTAGCCCAGTTGGAGCAGAACAGAAGGACGTTAAACCCTATTTCATTTATATTGAATTTTAAATACAGTAAAAGTTGTATTAAAAGAGGGGCCTGTTTCACGAAATTTTAACTAAGATAAAATCCAAATTTTAGTAATTTGATCGGATAATATTAGATTGATTTTAGTGCTTAGCCAATCAAAATTGAATATCTACTAAAATTTGGATTTTATCTTTAGTTAAAATTTCGTGAAACAGGACCCAGGCGTGATATGATCATGATATTTACTTCCGGTAATGGGTCGAGCAGCCTCGTTCTGAACCTTTCGTAATTCATCAGTTTGACGAGATGCTAACACAATGAGTAATGAAATACAGTGATCTAACCCAGATGTGAACAATCGTTTTGATTCCTCGTATCCTTGTATGTTTAAATGCCAATCAGAGGCATCAAAGATACATTATGTTAGATTTGGATAAAGAGTTGATCGTTCTTGCTATACTAGTTTAAAAATAGATCGTGAAAAATGAATATATCGGAAATTTGTGTCAAAATACTATATTCCGAATGTCTCGTTTATCCATTTTAAAGATACATTATGTTAGATTTGGATAAAGAGTTGATCGTTCTTGCTATACTAGTTTAAAAATAGATCGTGAAAAATGAATATATCGGAAATTTGTGTCAAAATACTATATTCCGAATGTCTCGTTTATCCATTTTAAAGATACATTATGTTAGATTTGGATAAAGAGTTGATCGTTCTTGCTATACTAGTTTAAAAATAGATCGTGAAAAATGAATATATCGGAAATTTGTGTCAAAATACTATATTCCGATTGTCTCGTTTATCCATTTTAAAGATACATTATGTTAGATTTGGATAAAGAGTTGATCGTTCTTGCTATACTAGTTTAAAAATAGATCGTGAAAAATGAATATATCGGAAATTTATGTCAAAATACTATATTCCGAATGTCTCGTTTATCCATTTTAAAGTTAAATTATAATATGACGCTGCTGTTGTAATCCATTCTATATCTCTATCATCCGTTGCTATAGAGAGTTGATAATAGGCATGCCATGTGTTCATTCCATATATTGGTCATCCGATGTTCTAGAGAGTTGATTATAGGCTTGTCATGTGTCTAATTAATAATATATGTAAGATTTGACGTGAAAAGAAAGAAATGCAATGGACAGAATTACCTCTTACATAATGCAGCCTATGTGAAAATAATATTAGCACAATCATAAATCGACACTATTATGTTGCACGCTACATCATGATAGGCATGCATATATGTAGGCCTACATCCACTTTGTCTAAACTAATGTGACACATTTGGGATCACGAGAACGCGAACGCCATAACTATACAGCGTTCCGCGACCTTGCGTCCCGTAGTTACACCCCTTTTTTCTAAAAACCTTGTGAACACTATAGAGGCAATATTTGTCAAGTTTTTTAACACGATAGGGATCACATTTTCTTGAAGGCATAATCTGGTCACCGGTCGGGTTTTTTCTTTAGCTAAGCTGCTGTCGAGACATAACTATTATGTCGGTGTATTTCCACGTGGCTATAATAATATTGTTTCGTACAGATGATTGTATATTTGATGCAGTGGTGCTGACATTTTTTTGATTATTTCGATTTTGCTTTGCTTAAATCAGCCTATTACAGATTTTTGTTTACTCCAATTTCGATGAATTATTAATTAGACATATAGGCAGCCTATAGTCCACTCTATAGACGATCGGATGGTTGTGATTTTTAACGGATTGAAACAAGATCGTCATCAAATAATTTAATTTAAAAATGGATAATTAAAACTCTGTTTTATCGTAACAGCGCTCAAAATAAAGTAATTTGATCGAAATGTTAAAGATACATTATGGGAGATTCGATAACGAGTTGGCAGTTCTCACTAAAAT